TTATTGTTTGACAGGCCCGGGCCGGATTCGAACCCGCTAGTTCCAGTGTATGTGGCTGGCGCTTTAGCCGCTTGAGCTACAGGCGCCACCCAAGCTGGAGCTTTCTGAGACAGAGCTTGTAAACTCCAAGCCAGCGTACCCCGCACTTTGCTTCTGTTCCGTGCCCAGCACCTCCGCCAATGCAAACTCCAGTACCGGGAAGTCTGTGCCGCCTCACGGTCGACCTCCAGAAACCGGGTGTTTCCGGGTAACGGTAGCGGCAGGGGCGGGACTTCCGGCGGCTTTACGTGACGTATTTTTTCCTGCGCGCGGTGTGTTTGCACTGGCTGAAAAGGCCCGGAACCCCGGGTGGGGTCGGCTTTGCACTCCACTCTCGGGAAGTGTGAGAGGACAGGCAGTAAAAAGGGCAGGTCCTTCCTCCACGTCTTCGGGAGGACGTGCGGCTACTGTGTTGGGCCGGGTGTCCTCGCGCGGAGGTGTTGCCCGGGCTGCGCTCTCGCCGAGGCCTCGCCCCCGCCCCGCGACCTAGTCGTCCTGGAGGCAGTGTCTTAGTCTTGCACGAATTTCTCCCCTGGGAGCCAGGCTTGGAGAGCTGCAGGCAGCACGAGGTTATTCGGCTCGTTGGGGCTGTGCGGTTTCGGCTGAGCCCGCAGGGCACGCCTGGTTCTCTGGCTTCTCGACCCGGTTCTGCTCATGGCGGCGGCGGCTACGCTGGTGGACCGAGTTCAGGTGAGTGGAGAGTCCCTCCCCTCAAGCCCATACCTACCTGGTTGGTGAGTACCGGAACGCAGCGCCTTCTTCGGTCTATTTTCTTGCTTGTGGAAGGCGGTCACTGTGGCGGGTATGTGAAGAGGTTTCCATTCCCAGGGGCAGCGGAATGAGGTGTGGAAGAGTTTCCGAGGCTCAGGAGCCAGTTCGTAGAAACGCGTCGGGATAATAATCAGAGTGTCAGAAACCGCAAGTCTCTGTTATGTCTAGTGAGAACGGTGTGGGAGTTGTCAAGGGTCAGACCTGTCGCAACAGCGTGAGGATCTGGGCCGCTTTTCTGAGTGGGGT